CTACTAACCATGATATCGGGTTTTGAAAACATTATGCGTCCTTATTCCGGTTTTTAGCCTAGATTTACTATGTGATGTGCACAGCATACAAGTATAGACTGGATCGCCTGAATTGGAACAAAACATTGCATATCCGTTTGTTTGAAAATGTTTGAAGTTTGCTACTCGCAAGTAGGCTAAAATGCGAATTTCAATGAATTATCCCAATTCAAGTAATCCAACCTTCACCCACAGGCATTCAGGCAGTTTATCACATAAGCATATAGCCACATGATAAGCATGTTGTCATGTTAACAATCACACTCATGCGAGATGTTAAAGCATAAATACTTAAATCGTACTCCCTGTCAAAACAGAGAACTCGTTAGCAATCATGCATGATCCAAGTCCATGTTAGAATAGCTAATGCATCGCAAGCAAAATGCAACTAGAATAGGCTAGGCTAATCTATGGATGACATGTGAAATGCAACAGACAACACGTATTCAAGTTAGATTTGAAATACTATGTAGTTAGTATGATGTGCCGAGCCCGGTGCATGCAATACAGATGAATGAATGCACACATGCATAGCATAAGGTGTGCTAATTGAAATATGCCCTAAATCTAACCATTATAAGCGGTTAAATAAAAGGGAGAAAGAAATGGGGTTGGAAGACATGCACACACACACCCACACTTATTACAATTGCTGCTTACAAGACAAGCTTCATAAGAGGGAGATGTATGGAGGGGAGCCAAAAGCAAGACAGCTGTCTTAAAATATCTGCAAAAGCAGATGCACAGTAGTCGGCCGGCCAAAAATGCCATCTTGGCCAAAAAGAGTGCCGGCCGGCACTAAAAAGTGCTGACCGGCAACAAATAGTGCCGGCCGGCCGGTGGCAGCAAACACCAGCCGGTGGCCTCTAGCCACTGCCGGTGGTGGGTGGGGATGGTCTACAAGCCCTACCCTGCCTCTCAAAGGCAAGATGCAAGTGTTTGGTGCAAAACCAGACACTAAACGGTCAAGTTCGGAAATCCTGAAGCAAGGAACGTGAGCCGAGACTTCCGGGAACTCCAAACGAACACAAACATGGATAATCACCGAGTGTTCAAACGGTGACGTCCAGGTCTTGAGGACGGTCAAAAATGGGGTGTCTACACCGGCCAACAACAGGGCACTACCAGCCAAGGGTGTGACACTGCCGGCCATCAGTGGTGCACTGCCGGCCACTGGTGTGCTGTGACACCAAACTGCAAGAAAGCACAAAATAGAGGAATGGGAGGGTCTCCCAAGGGTATATACGCACTATGCCACCCCAAATCACCTCAAAACATCAAGGGAGAGGCCTAGTCGGATCCACGACCATCAATCACGCATCCCGATGCATGATGGCCAAAGATCCAACTTGTGCAAATCAATATGAAAATGAATGCACAAATAAAGCAAGTAAATGCTAGAACTCTATCATGAATCATCAAGAGCTTCGGCGACTGAGAATTGAGACACGTTCCATCACTTGAAGCATGAAACGTCCCTCGTTCCTCGTGCTCAGATTAACACTTAGTCCAAGCAATGCAACACATAAGCATGGCAAACATGCAACATGACCTAAATGTGCAAGCATGCAACTAAACCAAGCATGCAACAAGCATATAAGCATGATGTGAGGTGATGACCTTGGAAAACATGACAAAATGCAACATGAACATGTGAGCATGCAAGGTATGCAAAGCTAAACAAGTATGCGACAACAAACGAAATGAAACAAGCATGCGACAACATGGTAAGATGGGCTTACACCAAAGATGGACGGCTCTCAACTAGGTCCAAATCAGTAGCCAAAGCGATGAATTAAGCCATACAACACACTTAAGCATGCGAAATGCGAAAGGTTCATCAAAGGGGCCTAAAAGGGCAACTCTCAAAAGTGCCTAAGAAGTGACAAATGTGCAAGTGTAACAACACTATATGCACTGAAATGAGATGATAAATGATGCCAAATCATTTAAATAGCTCAAGGATAGCATGCGTGAATCACCGAAACACGAAGCTTGCAAGGCCAATTACACTACAGCTATACGAAGCATGAAAGATATGGCAAAGGCAACCCAAAACAGTCCTAGTACATGTTGATATGAGGCTAAAACATGCAAGGAAGTAAGCCAAAGCAAGGTAGCATACAATGCTAAAACACAGGACATGCAAGGCTACGAAAGAGGCAATGCATTGCACCTATTAGAACCAATCATGGCACGACTTGGACAACCAAAAATAGAGTTACATCATGGTATATTAGGACCCAGAATGTACTGAAATGATGAGCCAAAGACTTAGGCTAAGTGGCATGCGCAAAAGTCCATTCTTGAGGCATAAAGCACAAGCTATACAAAGCATTCAAGGCATGTCAAATGCAAGTGTATGACAACATTTTATGGACTGAAATGGAATATGGAATGAGGGCAAAGCATGCAAACATCACATGTATGGCATGGTAGGGGCCTCAAAACCCACGACTAGCCTAAGCATTTACACTATAGCTATACAAAGCATGAGTGATATGGCCATGGCAGTCCAAAAAAGTCCTAGAGTAGCCCAAAATAAGCATAAAATCATGTTAGAGCAAAGCCAAAATATGCTAAGATGATGAATCAAAGCATCATGCACAAGAGGCTAGTAAACAAGATTTGTTCTACACCTATATGGAACATGCAAAGAATGATTAAACCAACTATGGATAGGGTCATGACATGCCAAATGATGACCAAATACAAGTTAAAATGTAAACCAAACAAGCTAAAATGACATGGCAAAGCATGGATCATATGAAGCTAGTTTAGGGGATTTACACTACAAGTGCATCATGCAAGCAAGGGGTAACAAAACCAACCCAAAACAGGTTCATGGAATGGTAAAACATCACCAAAAATGGACTGAAATGGACTCAACAAAAGCCAAGCACACATGCTACTTTGATGAGCTATGGATGCAGTTACACTACACATGCTAGATGCAAGCAAGACATGACCAAACCAGCCTTGGATAGGGCCAAGGCAGGTCCTAGAAGTCACAAAAATAGGCCTGAACCAAGCCTTAAAGATGCATGGAGGGATGGTCCTTTGGAAGGCCAAAAATGCAAGTAAAGAGGAACACAAAGAAAGGGGACTACCTCCTCTAATTTGGGACCTCAAAACCACACCTTTACCATTGAAAGGATGGTCCTTTGGAAGGCCAAAAATGCAAGTAAAGAGGGACACAACGAGAGGGGACTACCCCCTCTGATTTGGGACCTCAAAACCACACCTTTACCATTGAAAATCCACTGGATTTCAGTGGTAGGAAGGCCAAACCAAGGCTAGCTCGGAGGCATCAAGATATGGCTTAAAACAAAGCCAAACAAAGCATGCAAGGGGGCTACACACCCCAAACAACAAAGTGACCTTAACCAAACTTAAAAAGCACTTAAAAAAAAGACTTTTTCCAGTTATAAGAAAAGCCTAAATCAATATGGAAAGAGGGCTAAAGCAAGGTGCAAGAAAGTGCAAAAATGGGGAAAATGCTCACCCTTGAAGACCCTCTTCGAAACCAGCAATTTTAGGGGGTGGAAGCTCACTTTCAGACCTCAAGAAGACCTCCCAAGAAGCTTGGTTCAATGGTGGTGGTGTATATCTAGGTGTTGTAGTGTAAAAGTGCAAGGAAATCCAATTTCTAAGCACTGAACTCAAGCAATATAGAGAGAAAGGGAGTTTTTCCTCTTCAAAAGTTCAGAACCCCTGGCTAAGGAAGGGGTTTCTTCCTTATATAGAGGAATGAAAAGCCAAAGCTTCTTCAAGAATCTTTGCAAGGCCTCCATCCCTCCATACACGTGTATGGAGGGGAGCAAACAAAAATCCAGCTGGCTCAAAAGATCTGGAGGAAAATCAGCTGAGATAGGGGGGTGCCGGCCATCAGAAATGGCCGGCAGTGGCCCACTGATGGTGGGCAGGGCATCACCAATGGCCGGCAAGAACCAAGACATAGCCGGCAATGCCATGCCATGGCCGGCAGTGCACCAAAAGGTCCATTCTGACAGGACCTAGTCAAGGTCCAAAAAAAGGGCAGAAAGGATACAGGGTCCGGGAAGCTCGAACCAGTGATGTGCCATCGCGACAGTCGAGTACTCAGCGAGCAATCGAACTAGTTGTTGGGTGTACTTGCAAGCACAACCAAGTCTCGAGGACGGTAAAAAATGGGGTGTCTACACAAGCCCATCCAACACTTAACCAGCTCATGCGGAGACCTGTATATTTGCAAGCCAATCCTGATGAGGATTTCTTATTCTGGAGACTTAGCCGAGGTAGCACTCGTGAGAGGTACATAAGGTCGACCCACGTTGTTGGTCTTGCTCCAGACCTAGAGCCACCGCATTTTCTGGTTGCACCTCTACCCGTAGGTTTTGCAGAGAGAAGGGGACACGCATACCCTAGCAACCACATCCGCACCACGACACCTTCTCCACAGCAGATTTCCTATACCCCAGCTGTGGACTTCACTAATAGTGCATCATATTTGGAGATACCGATATGGATTACCGGACGGGAATTTTGGGGTTATGATCACGGTGTTCCTGTCTACATAGTCCAGGTGGTATGGAGTTGTTTTGGAATAAAGTACAGTAGGTGGGAGTTCGAGTCCCTCATGAAGAGTGAGTTCGCGGGGTTATTTCATAGGCCAGTTTTCTGGGACCAGTTCTCATGGTGGTGGCCTAACGGTCCCTTCTAGATATCCGACCAGGAGATCCTTTTTGTGACCTGACCATGATTAGTCTAATCCTTATATTTTTGTATCAGTAGGATTAGACATTAATTTTTGATGACTGGACTAATGCCTTATATATAGTAACAATGATGTATATATGAAGTTTTTATGTGGTATTAATGTGATAATATTAATGTGATAGTAAAACTAATATGTTATATATGATGTTGTATCAAAGTTGTATCAATGTGATGTCACGCTTATATTATTTTACCTTGTAGTAATGGCTAATAATGGAAATGGAATTGGATCGTCGGTCAGCGGTACTGATCCAACGGAGCAAATCATGGAAAGAGCAGTTACTAGTTTTCTGCGAGCCCTACAAACCAACATTAATAACGGATTGCCTGAACGACGAGAAGAACCAATTACAATAAAACAGTTCCAGGACTTGAAACCTACCATATTCACTGGCAGTACAAACCCACTAGTGGAAGAAGCTTGGGTCAGGGATATGGAGAAAATTTTTCGTGCACTACCGTGCACGGAAAGGCAGAAGGTGACTTTCGCTACATTCACCTTCAAAGATGATGCACAAGAATGTTGGCTTCTTACCCTGGAGAAAGAAGATATTGTGACTTGGGCAAGATTTTTGTAGGTATTCTATGAAAAATACTTTCCAGATTCAGTACGGAAACAAAAGAAGCCAGAATTTATACATCTAAGGCAAGGAACCATGATAGTGGCCGAATACGAAAGCAAGTTTACGCAACTGGCCCGATTCACGACATACGTCATCCCCACCGAAGCTCAAAATACCAAGAAATTTGAAGCGAGATTACATCCTAAAATCAAGGATAGACTGGAGGTTTTGAAACTACCAACCTATGCGGCGGTGGTAGATGGAGCTTACATTGCAGAAAAAGGGATTAAAGCCTTGCGCTCCGGGAACCAAGCCAGAGGAAGTGGTTTTGGAAAAGAGATAACAGAAGACCCGGTGTCGTGCCTCCCAAGAGAGTAAATACGGGCACAACCAGTTCAAGCAACTCAAGCAATCAAGGTCCTACAAATCCCAGAGGTGGCACCATTCTAGCTTGCACTACCTGTGGAAGGACTCATTGGGGACAATGCCGTCGAGATACGACCAAATTACTGAGAGATTGTCCAAAGCTTACCAATCCTACAGCTAGCCTCTTTACACCAGTCCAGAAACCCCGCGGTACCTGGAAAAGTGAGGAAGGACCAAAAATGCCAAGGAAGAGCTTTTGCCCTAGTGCTTGGAAACCCAGAGGTTACTGAGAATGTTGTGTCAGGTACACTTTTTGTTTGTGGTCACTTAGCTCATGTTCTCTTTGACTTTGGTTCAACTCATTCTTTTGTTACACCACACTTTGCTACCAAGTTGGCATCAACACCTGAACCCTTAGGATACGTACTATCTGTGCCTTTTCCTTCTGGAAACTCCGCCCTTAGTATTGATGTATACAAATCTTGTATTGTATCCTTAAAAGGTGAAACCTTACACGTAGACTTGATTCCCCTTTGCATTAGTACCTTTGATGTGATCTTAGGAATGGATTGGTTAGCCGCCAACCATGCCTCTATCGATTGTGAAGCCAAAAAGGTCTTCCTCCGATCACCAAACCAACTTGAGCTTGTCTTCGAAGGAACTGGAGCCTCTCCCCCTCCATGTGTTATATCCTTCATGACAGCTCAACGGTTACTAAGAAAGGGTTGTTGTAGTTGTATCTGTTATGTGAATGACCCTCAACAAGAGACCCCCACACTTGATGCAATCCCTGTGGTTCGTGAATTTCCAGATGTATTTCCTTAAGACCTGCCTGGTACCCCAGTTGTCGAGAAATCGAATTCACCATTGAAACCCAACCTAGTACACAACCAATCTCAAAGACCCCTTACCGCATGTCCATGACAGAATTGAAAGAACCAAAAACCCAACTCCCAGAACTACTAGACAAAGGCTTCATCCGACCAAGTACCTCACCATGGGAAGCTCCAGTACTATTCGTAAAGAAAAAGGATGGCACGATGAGGTTATGCATCGACTATCGAGAGCTAAACAAAGTCACCATCAAAAATCAGTACCCCTTGCCACGAATCGATGACTTGTTCGATCAACTGCAAGGCGCTCAAGTGTTCTCAAAAATTGACTTGCATTCTAGCTACCATAAACTAAAAGTCAAAACAGAAAGTATCGAAAAGACTGCCTTCAGAACTCGTTACGGGCATTACGAGTTTCTTGTCATGCCATTTGGTGTCACAAACGCTCCAGCAGCCTTCATGGACCTCATGAATCAAGTGTTCAAACCCTATCTTGACGAGTCCGTCATTGTCTTCATTGATGACATTCTTATATACTCCAAATCACCAGAAGATCATGGGCACCACTTGCGAAGCGTTCTACAAACATTACGTGATCACAAACTGTATGCTAAGTTGAAGAAATGCGAATTCTGGATCACTAGTGTACACTTCCTCGATCACATCATTAACAAAGATGGCATCACAATCGACCCCCAAAAGGTTGCAACAATCGTGGATTGGCCACGACCTACCAATGTGTCCGAGATTCGAAGTTTCTTGGGTCTAGCTAGCTATTACCGACGCTTTGTACAAGATTTCTTGAAAATAGTTTCACCCTTGACCTAGTTAACTCAGAAGAACACACCATTTGAATGGACAGACAAGCAGGAACATTGCTTCCAAGAATTGAAGAACAAACTCGTGACGGTTCCTATACTAGCACTCCCCGCGGAAACAGAAGGGTTTGAATTCATAGCGATGCCTCATACAATGGTTTGGGTTGCATTCTTATGCAAAATGGGAAGGTCATTGCTTATGTCTCCCGCCAACTAAAAACACACGAAAGGAGCTACCCAACTCATGATCTAGAATTGGCTGCGGTAATCTTTGCCCTCAAAATCTGGCGTCATTATCTCTACGGAGTAGCCTGCGAAATTTGCACAGATCACAGCAGTCTCAAATATCTGTTTACATAGAAGGAGCTAAACGTGAGGCAACGACGATGGCTAGAATTTATGAAAGATTACGATGTAGAGATCCATCACCATCCTAGTAAAGCTAACATAGTAGCAGATGCATTAAGTCGAAAGACAACCAAAATTTTGGCATGTACTCTCATTCCCTACAAGATCAATGGACTGCTTACCAACATAATCGTGGAACCCGAGTTGATTGAAGAAATTAGAATCCGCCAATGTGAAGATAAACTTTTGAAGAAAAAGTACGAGAAACAAGGAAGCATACCCGATCCTGACTTCACGATAAGCAATGGGATGCTAAAATTTCGGAATCGAATTTGCGTACCTGACCTTCCAGAACTCAAGAAAAGGGTATTGGTAGAAGTTCATAGCTCGAGGTTTGCAATCCACCCTGGTAATACGAAAATGTATCACGATCTGAAGGAACACTTATGGTGGATAGGAATGAAGAAAGACATAGCAAGCTATGTCTCCAAATGCCTGCGTTGTCAACAAGTTAAAGCAGAACATTAGAGACCTGCAGGAATGTTGCAACCACTCCCTATTCCCGAATGGAAATGGGAGCACATTACTATGGACTTCGTAGTCGAGCTTCCGCAATCAGTCTCGAAGAATGATGCAATATGGGTTATCGTAGATCAATTGACGAAGTTGATGCGTTTCTACCAATCAGAATCATGTACTCCCTTTCTAAGTTCGCCATTCTATACATTAAGGAAATCATTCGTTTGCAAGGCACCCCAGTTTCAATCGTATCTGATAGAGACCCCCGCTTTGTGTCTCACTTATGGAACAAATTACAAGAAGCTTGGGGAATCACTCTAAAGTTTAGCATGGCTTATCACCCGCAGACTGATGGACAATTTGAAAGGACGATCCAGACCTTGGAAGATATGTTACGTTTGTGTGTGCTAGACCTCAAAGGTAACTGGGATGATCATCTACCTTTGGTGGAGTTCACGTATAATAATAGCTACCATACAAGTATTGGAATGGCATCGTACGAGGCACTGTATGGAAGGAGATGTCGATCCTCTCTGTGTTGGATGGAAGTCAGAGACAGAAAATTATTAGGCCCTGAGATCGTGCAAATAACGAGCGATAAAATCCAACTCATCCAGAAGCGAATTCGCACTGCCCAGAGTCACCAGAAAAGCTATACAGATACACGGAGATGAGACTTAGAATTTCAAGTGAGCGATCATGTGTTCCTAAAGATCTCACCAACGAGAGGAGTTTTCCGATTTGGAAGGCGAGGAAAGTTAAACCCACGTTACATCGGCCCATTCGAGATACTCGAAAGTTAAACCCTTGCACTTCCACTCGAACTATCCAATGTCCACAATGTGTTTCACGTTTCGATGCTTCGACGATATTTTCGGGATCCGAAGCATGTTGTCGATTATGAGAACTTGGAAGTTTAAGAAGACCTCCCTTAAGAGGAAAACCAGTACAAATTCTTGATCACCGTAATCAGGTCCTTCGAAACAAGACTATACCTCTTGTAAAAGTCTTATGGAGAAACCATCGCATCGAAGAAGCGACATGGGAAACTGAAAGCCAAATGCAGGCCAAATACCCTCACCTCTTCGAAGACCAAGGTAGGTCAAGTTTGGGGACAAACTTCTTTTAAGGAGGGGAGAAATGTGACACTCGAGTTTTCTTTTTTACATTTAAAATTGCAATAAATAGAACTCAAAATAAATAAATAAATAAACCAATCAATCAATAAATAATAATAATGAATAAATAAATAAATAAAGGCATAGGAAATTAGGAATTTATTGATTAAATTGTTAAGTAAATAAATTGTGAGACACCACACGTTAAATATTTTAGTAAGTGGTAAGTGATGTTTTATAGTTGAGTGGTGAGATTTTTAGACGTGAACCTAACGTATAATCATAAGTAATTTTAGGACTCATAAAAGGAATCATAACCTTTAGAATTGAATTTTGAATCAAAAAAGAAAAAGAAAAAAGCATGGTGATTTGTCACCATCCTAATGCATAGGATGGTGACTAAGTGCCTTGGCCACGTAACAAGGCATACAGGATGCCACCTGTTGCATAGGTGGCCAAACCAAAACCTACCCACCTGGTACAAGCCATGCAACATGGCTATAAATAGAATATGTGTTAGCATCCAAGTAAGGAAAACACACTGCTAGAGTAAAGAGCATTTGAGCAAGAAACAGGGAGTGAGCTTAGAATAATTTAGGAGTAATTTTAAGGTGAGTTATATTATACCTTGAGTTATCATAACATGTTTTTTATATGTCTTGAGCTACCATAATATATTTTACGAATGTTTTGAGTTATCATAATTTATTCTATATAATTTATGTTTTATGGCTATGTTAATGTTTCAATTACGTGGATTATTTCCTAAACTCCGTTTGCTTAAATTAAAACCTATGGATATATTTGTTTAAATTTTAGAAATTATTTTACAATGATCTTGTGAACAATTATTTTCTGTAAGTACCACCACGAGAGTCCCATGCCTTCGGGGACTTAAATAACGATTGCCCCCCGGTTTGACCACTTTGTGGTCCCCTATTTGTCATGGATCTATTGATCCCTATTCTGATTGTCACTTTAGTGACCCCTATTTTGTTCTGTTTTGCACTGTGGTTATAGTTATTTATTTCAGTTTCTGCCACTTAATTAATTTGTGTATTCAACTCAAATTATGTTAATGTTTTGGCTTAAATAACTATCCATGGCTATTTTGTGCCCTTATACTCACAGTATAATATTTCTCACTCTGCTATGTGCTTATAGCTATTACCCCTTTCAGGTGACAAGGTTTAACGGGATCAAGATGGAAAATGAATCGCTGTGTTGTTTTTTTTAATTTCTTTTTTAAAGATTTTTATCCTTTTTTTTATCGAACTCTTGTAATACAATAAAGCTCAAATGACTATGTTTTGTTTCCTTTTAATAAACATTTGGTATCCAATTATTTTATTTTAATTTATTTAATTTATCCGCTT